ACGCACGCATATACACATACACAAGCACCATGATTGTACCATGTGCACCAACCACGTGAGTCGACAGAATCAGTACAAGGAAAACGTGATGTCGATGTGAACAATTCAAACTAACTGTTGCATAGATATCCTAATCATATGATTAATCTGCGAGAAAACAATCCAATAAGTAAAATTAAAAAATTCAGAACTATTACAGCCTACATATAATGTATAATGAACTCAGATGGAGAGCCAAGGATTAACATGAAGAGGAAAGAACCAAAGCAAAAATATATCCACCACTGGATACAAATGGTATTCTAGCAATTGCAAACGTTCTTTTCTGAGATAACCGGGTTAATAAACACCGGGAACCAGAAGCTACCTAAGAAAAACTGGAGTGGAATAACTATTGCGGCATCTACCTAATCCATTAAAAAAATCGAAGTACAGTGGTATAAAATACGTGGGATGTGTTCAGTTCATGTGAGAGTGCTAGATAGAACACGTCACCAAGCAAGGCGGTGGATGAGTGGAGGAAAACAAAATTCTCAATGAGAAGTGTAGAAAAGACAACTGAAAATTGTTGAAGATGTACAACTAAGGGGTTGTGTTGATGTGTGCGTGTGTGTGTGTGTGTGTGTGTATGTGTGTGTGTGTGTGTGTGTGTGTGTGTTTGTGTGTGTGTGTGTGTGTGTGTGTGTGCGTGTGTTGGGGAGGAGGGGGGGGAGAGAGTAGAGGAGTAGGATGGGATACAAGTTCAGTTTGTGTCACGCTGTGATCATTTACGTTATGATGCATAAAAAAGTGTGACCAAGTGACTGATGACAGGTGTCTACCAAGAAACCTTCAAAACACGAAAATCTTGTGATCACCCCAATAGGAAACAGCTACTAAACCCTCACTTGTCACGCAGACACCCATCGGCTCGTCCAGCTCTCCTTTTCCAAACTCAGCCAGTGGTGTGTAAGTTTCTGCGGCATATACCTGCAGAGACCATGGACAACACTGGTCAGTGTACATGAATTCCACGTGTTATAGCAGGTTGATGCATGGTGGTGTATGGATGATGTATGAATGATGGATGGATGCTGTATGGAGGATGCATTAATGATGTATGGAGGATGCATGAATGATGTACGGGTGATACATGAATGATGCATGGCGGGTGCATGAATGCTGCACAATTCATTTATGGATGATGGTATCATGGAAGGTATGGGTTAGCATGGTTAAGCCACACTGGAATATAAGCCGCACTGGGGTATGATCCACACTGGAGTATAAGCCACACTGGAGTAGAAGCCACACTGGAGTATAAGCCACACTGGAGTATAAGCCACACTGGAGTATAAGCCACACTGGAGTATCAGCCACACTGGAGTATAAGCCGCACTGGAGTATAAGCCACAATGGAGTATAAGCCACACTGGAGTATACGCCGCACTGGAGTATAAGCCGCACTGGAATATATTAGCAACACTTGAGTATAAGCCACACTGGAGTATAGGCCACACTGGAGTATAAGCAACACTGGAGTATAAGCAACACTGGAGTATACGCCACACTGGAGTATAAGCCACACTGGAGTATAAGCCACACTAGAGTATAAGGCGCACTGGAAAAAAGGCCCATCTGAACGATTTGAATTGTTTGGCACCAAATAGAGACATCTTTCCCATTTACCAGTGTTGATTTGACCATCAAGGTATAAGCCACGCAGGCTTCTCTTTGGATGTCTTACTGCTGTCTAAAGTGCGGCTAATACATGTCGCGAAATGACTTGGATCAATTTTTTTTATTCCTCGCGATATATCACCAGGCACAGAGAACAAGAGTTGAACCACCATTCGGATTGGCAAGAAGAAGAAGAATCCAAAAAACCATTTGTCCAAACCGTTCCTCGTCCAATATCACTGAAAAGCCCGTGAAGAACCAAACTCACGTGGCAATATTTGCCACGTTCAAGAAATCGGATCAAATACGTGTTACAAGTGAAACCGCAGTGATTCACCGGCACAAATACATGGTTGGCACAGTACAGAAAAACAGTATTCATGACTCAGACTGATGTCATGACAATTATGAATACTCCAGAAAATAAGGTATATGCAATAGGTGTGTAAACCACTTTGCTACTTCTGAAATATGTTTTCATTCATTAAAAGATGAATATGCGTCAAACCAGCACCATGGAGATAATTTCGGTCAGAGATTCAGTAACGTTACCTCAAACAAAGTCCTCTTACCCCGGCGTAAACTGAATCCACCACAACATGGCACGTATATTTCAAGTACAGTAAAACCTGTCAAGGTGGCCACTGGGATAAGGTGACAACCTGTCCTATACGACCACTGCAACCAGGACCAAATGATGCTATTTCCAGTCAACTGGCCCTGGATAAGGCGACCACCTGGTAATAGAGACCACATTTTGAAGGTCCCTTGAGTGGTCGTGTTAGACTGGTTTCACTGTATAAATGGGCGTCAAAGGCATACTCCTATACAAGTACTTAAA